TCTACTTGCCACTGGGGGGAATTCACTTTGTGATTTGCCTTTGGATCGGACTTCGCAAGGTCCGTCAAGTTGAGATGCAACATGTTAGGAACTAATGTTAGCTGCCACCTTGTGGTTTGTGTCCAATGGACACAAGAGCTACACTCCAAAACACCGCGCTACACATTTACAACAGTGAAACGCACTGATGTTGCAGCCAGCTCGCCATGCAACTACACATGTGAATATTGTGAACGATGCAAACATGACTACCATCATTAGCACTACACCAGTTCACAAGTCAGAAACAACGACGTGAACAGATGGAGAGAGCCGCACCGAGGGACGTGTCCAACTGCCATGACTTATTACACCACAGAGGAGTTTAGCCGGGCAAGTTGGGTAGTCGACCAAAGATCTCGCATTTCAATGAGTGTGTGGACAAGGACGTCCCTGGATTCGTTGTCATTTGTAAATTTGGTTGCCAAATGTGGACTTTAACGTACCGATGCAACGTCGACGTGTCCTGGCGGCAGATCCACGTGATCAAGACGTCTACAACGTGGACGAACACGTTTTGAATCGGGGTGCCGGGGTTTCGCTCGAGAACCACTTGGAACGTGCTGTTGCGCAATCTGCCTCCGATCAAATCAATCGATGCGTTGACACTCGCAACCACACTTAAGGTGCAGACTGCATCGACGCAAACGCTGCCACTTCGCTTCACGACTTGGTCGCCCACTCAGCTATGTTCCAGCTGCCATAGCCGCTCCAAGTCCCCCTGTAGTGTTCCACGTCATTGTCTCGCACCTCAAGCCCTCGTCTCGCACCTATTCGCCGGCAGTATCTAGTGGTCTTGCCGTCCATCGAGCCGCACCCGGCGAAATTGCCAGCTAATGCCGAGCGTTTGTTCCGTGGTGCCTGACGGGGCAGTCGCGGCGGCGCCGCATTGGGGTCACTCGTCGTGGAGTCATTGGTTGAACGCTCTCCTGGCCAGTGAAAGAGGAGGACATCCTGCACCGGAGTATCCACGAGGAGCAGTAGAAGTGCCATCTTTCGGAAGCAATTCCCAACTCGGCTCAGGCTACAAGAGGATGCGCCTGGGTTGCACCAGGGTTGCCTTCGATGAAACCATCACCTCCACCAACCGACAAAACCATAAGGTCTGCCATGACACTCACCAAATGAAGGTCAACCATGCGTTGGTCATCTTGGGGGTCATTGGCGTCAAGCTGACCGGAGGGACGGGGGGTCGATGCTTGGGGCGCTAGGGTTACCTTCAGCGCCTCCTTGATCTCCCAACACAACGGGCTTTGGAGAACAGTCGCATCTTCACGGCGTTACCGGGGCCACTGTCGTCAAGCTGGCCTCACGGACGGGGGTCGGTG